GGCATCCACAAGAGAGCGCGTCTGCCCAGGCGGCGCTTGTCGCAATGGGCGTCCGCAGCGTCGATACATTACACGCCCACACTCAAGGGCTCTCTCAATGTGCCAACCACACGCCGGTGACACCCCCCGACACTCGTCCCCCCACCTTCCGCCCCCCACTTCGCCCCCCGCGCCCCCTACGCATCCAAGGTCAGAGTCCTCTTGGTCGGTATTGGCGCCGACGAACAACTGGCTGGTACAATAACCTCCACGTCCCAAGAGGCTAACAATAAACGTAGGATACGGCCGGCACAAGGCAGCTTTCGAGCGCGATGGCTACGACGGCCTCCGCGCCGAGCTTCGCATGGACATGGACCGTCTCTGGTTGCGCAACCTCGGCCGCGACGACCGCATGATCTCGGACCACGGCCGCGAGGCCCGATTCCCGTACCTTGATGAGCACGTTGTACGCTTCTTGGCGACGACACCGCTGGAGGACGTGGTGGATTTTTCCCAGCCCCGGGGGGTCGGTGACAAGCTACTACTGCGTGTTCTTGCGCGCGCGTTGGGGCTCCGCCATTGCACGGGGTTGCCCAAGCAAGCGATTCAGTTTGGCACGCGCATGGCCAAGCACTCGAACGCTGTCTCGAGTGCGCCACGTCAGAATGTCCGAGGCACGACACCCTTTCTACCAGGAAACCGGTCTAGTGCTTAACCGCCGTCTATAAAAAAAAGTTGGTCGTTTTGACAATCCATTTTTACGACGAGAAAGGCATGGGCGCGGGCGCGTCGGTGGCGCCAGACGACGAGCCCGACGTCGCGCTGCAGTCGTTCCGGCTCCTCAAGTACGAGTACGCGAGTCTCGTGCAGCAACACGTGAGCGACGAAGCGGTTTTTGAGCACATGAAAAAGGTACGTTCGCGTCCGTTAGATACGCCTCATCGTGCTGGCGGCAGATGTATGCGAGCTCAATACACGCCGTGCGGGCCGACCCAGGAACCAAGCGCGGGGTCTGGACACGTCGTGTCTCGCACGGCTCGGAGCGGAGCAGCCTCAGCCAGCGAAAGAAGCGAGTCAACATCTTCGAGCCGGGCCACGTACTGATTCGTGACGTCATGACGGTGCCCGATATATCGTCATCATGGTAGGACTCCAAGTCAGTGCGTGGCGAGAAGAATGACGAGCCGCGTATGTCCAAGAAGAGCCCCGAGACGTGCAAGCTCTTGAAGGAGAACATTCAGGCGCTGCTTTTCGAGGCGACAACAGAGGGCGAGATGGACATGGTAAAGGCGCATACGATACCAGCATCTCGATCGCGCGCTAGGTGGTCTCGGTCATGACAAGTGTCAGCGTCAAAGCCGGGGACGTCATCATTCGGCAACACGACCACGGTGACAAGTTTTACGGTACGCTGCGAGCTCACAAAAACGACGACCACGTGCGAGATATTGTCATCTAGTGATCGAAGAGGGCAGTTGCGAATGCCTCGTCAACGACGTCCACGTCGGCGACGTCACAGCGGGTGGCCACTTTGGCGAACTCGCGCTCATTTACGACGGTATCGATATTGGTGTATCGCAGTCGACAACACTCTGTAGCACCGCGCGCGGCAACTGTGATTGCGACATCGGACTGCAAGCTCTGGACACTCGGACGCAACGAGTTTCGCGCGGTACCCGACTCGAATGCCCTCATTTCAAGATACAAATATATGCGTGTGCTAGATTCAAGCCCAGTCGTCGATGGAGTCGCTCGGGAAGCGCTCCGAGTGGCTGCAAAAGGTGCCGCTCTTCTCCGGTCTCACGTCGCGCCAAGTTACGTCCGTGAACCGGTGTCTCGAGGTCGTGACGTTCGAGGACGGCGAGGTCATTGTGCAGCAAGGGTCGCGGGGAGACGCCTTTTACATTGTCGCGTCGGGCACTGTCGGGTGCACCGTCGCCGGCTCCAAGCGCAATCTCATTCTCATGTCGTCGTCCAAGTCCGAGGTGATCGACACATCGGAGCCGTGGAAACGATCGTTGCGCGGTAGATCGCGCGCTTGACCCAAGGCGACTACTTTGGCGAGACGGCCCTCCTCAACGACCAGCCGCGCAACTGCACCGTGCGTGCGATCGGGCTCGTGAAATGCGTCCGGCTCATGCGTGCCGACTTTATCGCGATGATTGGACCGCTCACGGCGATCCTCGAGTCCAACGGCATCAAGCGCGCGCTGCGGACGTACGACCACTTTGCGGAATTCAGCGACATCGAGCTCGACAGCATCACGAACATGATTGAGATCGTCGAGTACGACGATGGGGACATCATCTTTCAACCCGAAATGCCGGCCGAGTACTTTTACATCATCCGCGACGGCCAAGTCAACATTCAGGATTTTGAGGTCGAAAACATCCCGCTCGAACTCAACGTCAAAGACTCGTTTGGCGGCGAAGCCATCACGTATTCCTCTTTTCGTGCTTCATTTTGAATCGATGAAAAGTGAATTGGACATGGTAGCGGCGGCGACTACAAGTCGACGGCGACGTGCGTCGGCCAAGTCACGTGCCTCCGGCTCTCCCAAGCCAACATTTCGCTTGGCATTGTCACGCGGCGGCAGTCGATCGCCGACATTGCCAACATGAGCGGCCTCTTTTATCGGCATCCACTGAGCTACCTCGACCTTGAAGACCTCGTGCACGTGCGTGCTTGGATTGTATGCACATGCCGCCTACTGAATATGTAGATTGGGGTTCTGGGCGAAGGCTCGTTTGGCCGCGTCACGATGGTGCAAGCCTTTCACGAGGCCGAAGAGTACCTCCTCGCGCTCAAGTGCGTCTCGAAAGCGCATGTGATCGAGTGCCAGCAGCAAGAACACATCATGCGCGAGCGCATGATCCTCAAGGAGTTACCGCCCAACCCGTTTGTCGTACAGCTCTACGCTACGTACCAGGTCCGTGTCCGCGCTCGATCACTTGCTGTTTTAACGTTGATTGAGTAGGACGCCAATTTTTTGTACATGCTGCTCGAACTGGTCCAGGGCGGCGAACTCTTCAGTGTGCTCCACACGGACATTTGTGGCCGGGACCTCGACGAAGAAGACATGATGTTTTACGCCGCGTGCGTCTACTTGGGCCTCGAGCATCTGCACAAGCGAGACATTGCCTACCGCGATCTCAAGCCCGAGAATCTCCTCGTGAGGTAGGTTGCATTTGGGGGTTTGGTTTTTGGTAGAAATCGTTGTGAATGTTGATGATTTGGATAGTGCCACGGGGTACCTCAAGATAGTCGACATGGGTTTTGCCAAGAAGATTCCGTTCACGGTCACCAACGACGACGGCACGACCGAGGTGAACGCGCGAAGCTACACCCTCTGCGGCACACAAGAGTACCTCGCGCCCGAGTTTGTCCTCAATACGGGTCATGACATTGCGGTCGACTATTGTAATCGCTTCTCGTCCCAACAACTCGACTCAAAATCGGTCAATTTGTAGGGGCTTTTGGCGTGCTCATTTACGAAATGCTCCTGGGGTACACACCGTTCGAGACGCCGGACGGCGACATTGCGAGTCTCTTCAAGAACATTGCGTTCGTGCGCACGGGGGCAAACGCGGTGCAGTTCCCCCCCGACCTCCTCTCGGAGAGCCCGGCCGTGTGCGACCTTGTTGAGAAGCTGCTGCACGGTGACCCGACCAAGCGCCTTGGCATGGGTGTCTCGGGGGCCCATGACATTATGAGCCACCCGTGGTTTGCTTCCCTCGACTGGGATGCACTGCGAAGTCAAACGCTCGAGACACCATACGTGCCGCAACTCAGTAGTCGCTACGACACGTCGCTCTTTGATGGCGACCAAGGCTTGCGCGTCAACGACGCCGACTACGACGGGACGCAGGATAGCATATTTGAGGGGTTTTAATCGACTAGCCTACAAGAGACGGCGACGCCATTTTGCAGAAATAATGAAAAAATAGGATGGGGGGGAACTCGAAAGGTTTTTTTCATCGAACGTTTCGCGATGAACAACAAGAGCACGCTCGACGACTACGACGCGATCTTGGACCCGCGGCTTGTGCAAGCGGTTCGGAAGCGCGTTGCGTCGTGCCGCAAGGCGGACTTTATCGATGTGCTCGGTTCGCACCTTCTGCGGTGTCGGCTGCCGCTGTCGCCACAGTGCGACGTCGACACGGTGCAGGCTTTCCGGGACGCGGTTCGCGAAGACATTATGCTCAACGGTTCGATCCCGCGGTCCTCTTTAATTGCATACGAGGAGTCCTTGCCCTAGGCGTTCGGTTTGTGGGCGATCACCGGACAGAGGCCTTTGTCGCCGCAGTCAAGCGCATTGTTCAAAAGTACGACTACTGCACGAGTGTCTGCGCACACCTTGTTGCTTTTGTCTGCTAGATTTGTGCCCAAGGACCAGTGCCTCGAGGCGTCCGACCGCATCATGCGGCGCTGCAGCCGCACCCACAGGTGTCGCACTCTAAATTGATCCGAGTACGCTCACGCACGGGCGGTATGTGGTAGCGGTACCGACTCGTACTTTGCTCTGCAAGAGCTGTTTGGCGCCACCGGCCTCTTGGTATGTCGTCGACGAACGTCCTATGTAGATGGCCCACATGTTGGCGCTAGATCAAGCCGCGTCCAGGGGGCACGCCACCGCTCGATATCAGCCTTGGCCGCGACAAGACGGGTAGTGATTTATATCGTGCTGAAGATTGCGACGTGGAAGCGTAGGCAGCTTCAAGTGCCGCATTAGCGCTGCCAACCTCTATGCGATCTACCGCCACGACGACATCGAGCAGCTCTTGACTCATTCGGTAATTGAATGCACCGGACCGCGAATCGACCACTTTTCTGAATGTAGGATCATACGCTGGCGCCGCTTGTAGAGGTCGACACGGTCATTGTCGAAGTCATGTCGTTTGCGACGGGGGCGACGACACGAACGTTGTCGCTGCGGACGCCCGAGCCGCAAGAGTATCTCCACGCCGAAGTCCAAGAACTCTTTTAAACTCGCTGTAAAAGATATAAAGTAATCGCAAAAAAGATATGACATCCAGTTCTCGCGAGCTCGCGCGAGTTGTTAATTTGTTCTCGAAGTCCATAGCTGCGTTTACCAAAACGCTGTGGCAATAAATTACTCGTGGCATATCTTTATTGCGGTTACTTGATGCCAAAAAGCAATGATGGCATGCAACGATGCCAACGGCGGATGCGATGTGGCACATGCTACAAGGCGCTCGACTCACTCGAGGAGAGCCCCGTGTGTCTGGTGGCTCCAGTTGACGACATTTTCAAAGGTCACAACCATGCGCCCACTACCAAGCCCACTACCGTCGACCAGCGATATACTTTGAACATTGAACGATAGAATATATGTAAGGCGTCAACAATTCTACGCTCTCGCGGCTCTCCACGTTTGATAGGACATCATACTATGTCGCTGGAGGACCCAATTGCCGATGATAACCGGCGTCTAGGCAAAGACTGAGCACGTGACGGTGTAAACTACGATTCATATTGGGCGGCTATAGCACTGTCGAATGCAAGCGCTAGCAACGTCGAATCCAATCCGTTGGCTGTGTCGTACAGGAATAATATTCTGGAAGATGCTTTGGCACAGCGCGAAGGCTGCTTGAGCTGGCAGAAAATGCACAAAAGCACAAAAGCGCGTCGTGCAAACACTGTATATTGCAGTGTATTAGGAATCCCGGTGTGGTACATGGTATTACACCCGCGCGACCGACGCTCGTTGTGGAGCTGGTTCCAGTGTCACGGGTCGCAGCACCACCCCGCTTGCAGATTCTGTTTCTATCGAGTGCTGCGATCGCGTCTCCATGAATATATATTGCTTGTTCGTATTCATACTACTAGTATATGTTAGCAATCTAGGGCTAGGCCATTGATTGTGTACCGTGCGACGCACCTGGATGCACGCATCGGATCGACTCGAGGTGGGTGTGGAAAACATTGTTGCCGTCGACCAGATGCGTCCGGATTACACACGCCCTGTTTATCCGGATGGCGCCGTAATATTAATCACGCGGCGTGTTTCTTGGACGCTGCATACAAAACCAAGGTAGTCAGAAACACGTTTCAATGTCCTGTTTCCCGCTCCGCAATAAAAATGCACAGCCGCGCGCTGATTGGCCAACGCTTCCATACTCAATTCGAGTCTCTTGCGTCGCTGCTGTAACCGGATTATATCGAGTTTCAGAGGTTTCATGGGACTGACGTTCTGCCGGTCAACCGGTCCTCTCGTTTCAGACCGGGCCGCAAGCAGAGAGCAGGGCCCATACCCTGTCACATGCTCGACGCCGGTGCGTACCTCATGGGAGTGGGGAGAGCTGCTTCGTACGTTGCTGCATGGGAATGGCCTGTGCACTGCTTCGTGTGGACTTGGCGGCGGTGGAAAAGTGCGATGAAATACGGTAAATATCTCTACTTTGCCGCATTTTGAGATCGCGCGACCGGCCTTGTACGCTTGTTGCCGGGACCGCCGTGTGCACGCCTGGTAAAATACTGCGTATGGCACTCCACGCGGCCACACGCCGTGGACATGGACGGTACGGGAGCGTTGAACCGGCTACCGGACCGAACCGGTTTCAACGGGCACGTGGTGTTATCCGGAGGGTTCCTGCAGCATTTGATATCTTGAAGTCCGTGGGCGACAGTATATTGACGCCAGCCAATCTCCCCAAGTCGTCGTAGAGCTCATGGAGTACCAGGTCTCATGGGGCGAGGGCTCCTTGGGGCTGACGCTGCGTCCGGACCTCGGCGAGGACATGCCGCCGGTCGTCGGCCGCATCACGCGCGAAGACTCGGCGGCGGCCAAGGCCGGCGTCGCCGTCGGCCACATGCTCGTGAGCATCAACGGCATGGATACCGCGCGGCGCGGGTACGACGCGACGGTCGAGATGCTCAAGACGATCCACCGGCCGGCGATTCTGCGCTTCCGGATACCCAAGTCGCTTCTGACGCTTGGTGCGCGCAACAGCACGGGCCAAGAAGTGGACCGTCGGCGCGAACACTCGTCGTCGCACCCTGTGTACCGCCGTGGCGTCTCGAGCGCCGCCGTCTTAGGAACCTCGCGCGGCGAGAGCTACCGCATCGAGCGCGATCGCGAGCGAGAGTACCGCGAGCGAGAGCACCGCCGGCGGTCCGAGCGCGACAGCGAGCGCGAGCGGGCGAACGCCGTCGTCGTGCAGCCGCCGCCGGTCCTTGCCCACTCGTCGTCGACGTCGTCCGAGGCGTCGACGGTCTCCAACACATCGTCGACGTCGACGTCCGCCAAGCCTCGCCGCGAGACGTACACAGTGGTCTGGACCGAGGGGCCGCTGGGCATGATCTTCCGACCGGACGACGACGACTGCCACATTCCGTGCATCCGAAAAATCACAGGCAAGGGCGTGGGCACGAGTGGCATTGACC